TCTTTGTGTCTACAAAAATTAAACACAAATTATAGGACATAACGTAGGAAAAGGATTAAAGTAAGAAAATATGTACGTGCAACTTTGTGAATAATATTTCATAAGCTAAACCAGATTTATGTTTGTTCACCCGTTGACAGCGTATTTATTTTAAATACATAACTCCCAAAATGTAGCTTGCATACCAATACACTTTGTAAGTCACGTATTGTACATTACATTCATTGTATTGAGAGTCGTGACTTATGCACCATAACAGTTTCATACTAACAAAGGAACCGAACCATCATGCTTATTTATATGGAATGTTACATTTATTACCTTTTAATTATTGTTAATCAGTTTATCGTAGCGTTATTCCTTGCTCGGGCAAATATTTGCGACGCAATTAATTTAATCGGATATAACTTGTATTAGTTATTAGCACTCCCTTATTACTCACAATCCGTTAGTATTTATCTAGCTTACTGAACAATATAACTTTACGCCCGGCTTCTGAAACACTAATCATCGTAGAAAATAATTTTTACTATGATCAGTGTTTCAGCAACCCGGGGTAAATGATCAACTACCGTTAAACAAAGAGATGGATGACAAAGGAATTTGCTTAAACAGAGAATAAAATTTATCCTTATTTTAAGCTCATACATATAAAATATAAATATCATTATTAGGAATTAAAAATTTAGTGTCGTGTAAACTTTTAAAATCATAAATATTTACATATTGCTTGACGAAGATAATAACCGTTGGGGAAGAAAGGTTCTCGAGTGGCAGCCTCGTACTGGCCATCGCAGTGTAGGACGACCCCCCACTAGATGGAGTGACGACCTGTGCAAATGTGCGGGAAGTCGATGGATGCAGGTGGCTCAGGATCGTACTTCGTGGCAGTCTGTGGGGGAGGCCTATGTTCAGCAGTGGACTCAAACAGGCTGAAATGATGATGATGATGATGACGATAGTTAGTGAATGCCCGTTAAATTACTTTTCCAATGTCCAATACATAAAGCAGACACCAATTAAAAAGACAGTTCCATAAAGTAATAACGTTATAGAACTATCTTTTTAAAATACTATTTATGTAATATATTTCATAAGATATGTAAATGTTAAAGTCGACGTAACAAAGTCCATTAGACAATTATACCACGTATAAAAGTCACATGCCATAATCTCTACTACCGGTTTGCAAATTTTAATCAGTTTAGAAAAAACCGGCTAGTCTCCGAATATTTGTACAGTTTGGTTACATTACACAACGTTTTGAAAGAAATACAATGTAAAAATGAAGTACGAGTAACCAATCGCCAAGTAAAAATATTTTCTGAAGTTGAAAGATATGATTGTTATTTTCTATTAAATGTGACTTATTTCAACATTTAGATTTAAGTACCTTCTGAAAAGAATAAGTTTTGATGGTTCGACTTTTAAGCCAGAGTGAAAAATACTTTTAGGCTTTCACGGTGAAGTTATAATACAATAGTGACGTCACAAATACTATACGAAAGAGAAACATGCACTTCACGCATTTAAAACAAAATCCTCTACTGCTCAGTTCACACATATTTTATATTAGATTTACAGAAAGTTAAAAAATTAGAGATGGGCACTTCACGTAGTTATATCAACTAGGTAATGCATAATAAAAGGAGATTGATATAGAAGAACTAGGCACGAAACTGATCAATTAAGACCATACATACAGAAATTACGGCAAAATTGTTTTTCTTTCCATGAAGAAAATACAATAAATGAAAATTAATTAATCACCCCATTATTTTTATTTTTGAACTGATTTTGAATTGATTAGGGGTTATTTAACTAAATTTGAATTAGGGATTGTCAACGTTAACATTATCACTAAAGTACTCAAAATGTCGGAAAGAATATGTCTACTGGTTTCTGAAGGTATTTTACTTAAATTTTTAGAAATTACTCTAGATTGATTTTGAATTATTTGCCTTTTTTGCTTTAAAATAATCATATTTGGCGTCAATGAAATCTTATTTAGAAAGGCTCGCTTACTGAGACTCCTATTACATTGAAATTAATTCCTTATTCCTCAAACATGTAATGTTAGGGAAAAAGTTTCTTCGTGTTTTTTTATACATTTTCAAGATATTCGAAAGTTTCACTACATTTCATTATAATGTATTTATGTCCCATTTTGTTCGATAACCTGTCGCTATTTTATAAGTACTGACATAATACCGTTAATGTATGAATTATGCCAGTTCTGACTAAAAACATTCTGTTGGTAGTTAAGATCTGATAACGTATAGTTTTATTAGGGAGTAAAAGCACGTTATGAACGATGCCTTTGCAATCATACATAAAACACCACGTTGTTGCGTGTTAGTCCGGGTTTCGCTACGTCACTAAGTCTGTGGTGCTTTTCGTTTTGATATTTTTCGCATGTTCTTGTAGTTGGTAATGAACTTTTTATGATCAATCTCTTCAAAAATGGATCGATTTCTTTAATAGAGAATCATTATATTCATAATATTCACGATTCATTAGGCTTCTTCCTATGAGCTCGTGTGGCATACAAATATCGCACTTTTTTGCATACCCGGACAAATTACAAATGGGCCTATACTGTTATGGGGTCAATCATCAGTTCGTTACCTACGTCGTAACTAATACATACTAATAAGCAACTACTAATACGCCGATCTTGCTCTCCTTCTTCAGAAATTGCATCGACTTAACCCTTAATAGGGACAACTACAAAAACGACTAGAACGAGCTGCACCAACTTTGTGCTTGTCTTACTGACAATTCATTAGGTCCATAAACGTCCCAAACTTTTTTCCTGTCTTGCATTAAATTTTTTCCTTTTTTGTTATAAAACTTCAAAATGTATCGAATTTCTTCGTAAAATTGAAAAATGTCTGGACTTTTATTTTTATTTTTATTGTTCTTTTTAATATTATATATTTGATGGTACTGAAACCATCCAGATACAGAACAGTACAACATATATATTTACCACAACTTCAAACTTGTAAATTACAAAAATAATTTTTCCTAGACTCTTATATCTTGATAATATGTACATATAATTTAATATACTAAATAAGAAAGAATCTTTCATGTATATTACTTGTATCAATATTTTTCCTATCCCTTACTCATTCATTGTACATTGATTGAGAGAATCACGACGATGTTTCTAGCATACTATCAATAAAATGTTGAAATTGTCTCTCAAGATAAGATTTTACTAAAATGTTTTGATATGTTCCATTGTGGAACTTCCATGCCTATTAATAATCATTTTAAGTCAAACAAATGGCTAGTTCTTCTGAATATTTAAATAAAAAGTCAAAAGTATTATAAATTGACCAAGTCAATCCTCGTGAAATTAACTTGATCTTGGTTTATAATCCCATTATAAACCAAGACTATCATCATAAAATGACAAATCTGTACAACTTTTAAATCCCTACAGGACTGAAAGAAATTATTTTACAAATTTGCAAATTTTTATTTTAAATTATTTTACAAAAGTCAAAGCCAAAACCGCTTACAACATGATTCAAATATTCTGCCGATCCCACCTAGGCGGAATAAGGTCAGGAGGATGGTGATTTTGACTTAGTTAAAGAAAACGTATTAATATAACTTTTTTTTCAATAACTTATACTCAATACAACATTACTTTGTACAATTATTAATTAAAACGACCGTTTCAACTTACAAGCTATGAGGCATAAATTTCGTATTGTTGTAAATAATAGCTTTGATTGATCTTATTATTATTACATTCATGGCTAGTTGTTAACTGTTAGTGTGCGCCAAGAAGTATGTTTATATCGTCATATTATCAAAAATAAAGTGTAGCAATATTAATGTTATTGTTATTAGAATCACGCCATACCTTATTTTTTTCCAAGCATTTTTCGATCTACTCATATATGGTATCTCATATCAGTTTGGTAGGTATCTTAATTCATTAACACTAAAACTTGCAATGTACATTGCAGATTCTTGTGCAATATTGTGAGAAGAATAATTTTTCATTTGAATGAACCAAAAAATAAATATAATTTTAATGCCAAAATAATTATAATACCAATAATATAATGATGGAAATACATAACTTTATAAATCTTAGGGCACAATAATGGAAATGAGACTCGCATTGGAAATATTTCATCACTGAAATGGTATATTGTCATAATTAAATAAAAAAATATTATTAATATGGATAAATAATTACAATAACTTAATAATGATTAATTAATACGACATATAACCTTTTTTGTACTAGCAACATGAAGTGAAACTTAATTGCAAAAACAGCTCATACATTAATAACATACTATTATAATAGCAGTTGTAGTCTATATGATTAGAACATCGCTTGTCTAGTCGGCATATTCTGATAACACGGATTATCCATAGATATAATTATCGGTATGTCCAAGCAATGGAAGCACAATGCTACGGGTTTTGAACAAAAACTGGCTAGTTTTTAAATACAATATAAACTAATGGTTAGAAATGGTAATCAATGCAGCCGTAGATGGACGAAATAGTAAAAGGCTTGACTAATGTCTTGAACAAGCCTATATAAGCTGATGAGCCTATACATGCAAAGAAATATCGTACTAATATGGTACAGCTACGTTAACACAACATATACATTAGCCTCAAGTAAGTTTATACGTGTTTACAATTTTTTATTCTAAATTAGAACTTTATTTGAAACCTTTCAATATTATCCGTATAACCAACCTTATTTTTGGGGATATAATGTAAAACTAAAGTTCAACCTATCTACCTGGCTATCTGAGGCCATTTTGTTGGCCACGTTAGGTGATCATTTTATAGTAACGGGCGCTATGCTTTTACTATCACAATGTCACCATTATTCTCTGTTTGTCTATTCTAACATACTGTGGTTCCATATCTGGGCGATAATTGTTCAATAAAAATTGTATTAAAATATTTTCTCTTCGCTGTTTTAAATATGTTAAAAGCACTCAACTTACCTTTCAAGCTCATCACCAACCAACTTTGAACTATACTCAGATTTCGCAGGCACTAGATCGTATTCTTCTAGATCCCGACGATTGCCGTAATAAAAATATGGAAAAGTCCAAAAGAAAAGTAATCGCGAAAGAAAGCCTGGAACTTTCTTCGATTCGGTCTGCTTAGTCTTTTTCGCGGTCTTGTCAAAATATTCCTCATTCTTAACACCCATGTTATCGTATTTAAACTAATATAGAGAAAAAAAAGTATGGGACTATTTGCCTCTGATACACACGTGCGACCTACATCACTTTCAGACAACAAATAATTATAAAGAATTTTATTGCCGCCTGACGTTCGTTTTGCTAAATTTATATGTACATGTATATAATTCGACGTCATAATCTTTTTCTCATATCTGGTTTTACGATGCGTTACGCTGTGTATATCGAATGCCATATAAGTTTTTTATCATAATACCAAACAATTATATGCCTGTTAAATAAAAATACTTATAACAAATAACGTTATAGTCTATAGCATTTATGAATATTAAAACCACTAAGTTTCCGTATGACATTGGTTTACTTTTCAACACCTCGCTGATTTAATTTATGCTCAGAATGCCAAGATACATTTATAATAACAAAAAAGTATAGCCGTAAATTTATAGGCAAGTAGGTACTTGTATCTGTAAATTGATTAATTCGTAGAAACTAGGCCGTTTATGATAAATGCACGCTAATTGAACATACATAATCTCAAATTTATTGCAATAATCAATAATTTCAGCTATTCATCATGACAAGTAAAAATATCGTAATGACGTAAATCCAGTGAGCAGAATAAAACAAGGGCTATATAATATTACAGGGCTACTTTAAATAAAAGAGATTGTTATTTTTAAAACCTTGTATATATAAAACATGTATTTTGAAATGTTTAATAATAAGCCATTAGCATAGACTTAATATAACGCCACTGCGGGAAACCTAGTAGGTATAGTGTATCGTATTCACTTTTTACCACATTTTTCACTTTTTGCCATGGCAACAAATATATTATATATATATTTTTTTTTAATAAAATTACGTCTAAAGTTAGTAAAAAAATACGAAAATTATTAAACTGAGATACTACATTCTTAATAACAATAAATATAAAATTAAAGTGTAAATAAATATAAAAAATAATATTAATGAAACTAACAATTTTTATATATATAAAACAGTGCGACAACAATTTTTTTTGTGCATAAGCTTTTAATAGGTATGCTTCTAATCGAGGTTATTGTGTTTAAAAAATGTTCTATTTGATTAGCGTTGTCGGATTTATCAATAGATATTGAACATTGTTTCGGCAACCTTTATTTGTTCACTTCGTCGTATTAAGGCACGCGTAGCTATACATGATTACGTCGTGGGAGGCAGACGTATTTGGAAAATTATTTACTTGCCAATACATAGATAATACCCGTGATAGCTTAGTGTCCTGGCGCTCGCCTTTAATTTAATATACACGAACATCCTGAGTTCGATGACCGGTAACGTTACCAACGAAATCGTTAATTTTAAGTGCTATCTTATCACGTGCTCAGATGCTCGATGAAGGAAAACATCGTGAGGAAACCTGCATAATTTCGAAATAATAAAAAATATTATCCCTAAGTCATGTGCAGTGTCAGTCATGACATGCCAGTCCGCAGTGGGGCCGCATGGTGGACTTTGCCCTAATACCCTGTGTACAGAGGAGACCTTTGCCCAGCAGTTGGAAATGTATAGATAGGCTGTTACTTTACTTTACATAGATAATTATATAGATAAAGTGCATCACGTAAGTGTAAGTGTGCCCACCCTTGCTAAGTAAAAAATTATATATAATTTCAAAGTTCATTTTAATATGTTCAGTACCCAAAAGGACTGATCCGATTTAAATGAAATTTGGTACACAGATAGTCTAGAGCCTGAGAAAGGACATAGGCTATTTTTAATTGTTAAAAAAGTGTTGTAAAGAGTTGAAAGATATTTATTTAAGGGATTCAACGCGAGCGAAGCCGCCGGCGAAAAGCTAGTTTATTTATATACTCTATCTTTGGTAGTCTTATACAAGCTTCACCCGCGTGGTTAAAGGGAATTAGTGGCGTGTAGAGATGCAAAGAGATGCTATTTCCACGATTCTCTCAATAATCGGAGCCCATCTGATGTTTGGAGATTCCTGAACTCAAATGGTATCGGAAAGCCACCTACTATCGTATGTGGGGATATTGATATAAACGATCTTAACAAATATTTCTCTTAATCTTCCTCAATCCTAGATCTTCATATCAAATCCGTAACACTGCGCGCATTGTCTGGCCTGCCGAGGCCATCTTCCACCTCTTTTATTTTCACCCCTATTTCAGAGGAGAGTGTGAAAAGATCCATTTTGGCAATCTCTTCATCATCTTTTGGCAGTGACAATATGTGCTCTAGAATGCTAGTTTTAAATTTGTCATCAGTACTTCCTGTTTTACCCATATATTTAATCACTTATTGTCAGCCTGTTCATTTCTGGTTCCTTGGACTGGAAGCAGGCCCACATCATACCACTCCTGAAGGTAACTTGTCCGACAATAATGTCCCACTTTAGGCCCATTTCAAACTTACGTTTTCTTTCAAAAGTTCTTGAGCACGTTTTCCATACTCAACTATTCACTTTTCTATCTTCTAATTAGCTTTTAAGTTCTTTCCAATCCGGTTTTCAGCCCAGTCACAGTACCGTTACTGCTCTCCCCAAAGTCACAGACGATATTCCATGGGCTATGGAGAGAAATAAACTTACTTTACTGGTGTTGCTTGACTTCAGTAACGCTTATTCTTCTGTTTATTTTGATATTTTACTCGACATCCTTCATTCAATTAAAATTTCCTCTTCCTCTATAAATTGGTTTGACTCATATCTTCGGGGACGCTCGCAGCGCTTTCGCATAGAAAGTTCATTCTCTAACTCTTGTGAAATAAGCGCGGGCGTGCCTCATGGTGGCGTTCTCTCTCCCTTACTTTTTTCTATTTTTATTAACTCAGTCACTACACTACAGCAATCGATTTGCAGTTTTATCATCATTTTCCTCAAGAACAAGCAGACTTAGCTATTTCTACTGTTAACGAAGATTTAAACCGAATCAATTCGTGGTCGAAATCATTTGGACTCACGCTTTATGCCACTAAATCACAGGCGATAATTATTGGGCCTAGGTACTCAAGAAACTCGATCAATTTCTCTATTATACACCCCGTTAAGTTAAACCACGATCATCACATATAATGAACACGACCAGTAAGAAGAAAGTTATGCGATATACCCATACCTTACACTGAAATTGTCAAGGATCTTGGGATAATAATTTCATCAAATCTTTCCTGGCCAGCACATGTAAGTGAAATTAGTCGAAAAGTTCACTATCCTTATCATGCTCTTCAATGCCTTCAGGGTGGATTTATGACTTACCTGGATGCTACTGAGGAGCTTTTAAATAAGCTTGAGCGCTTGCAAAATCTATGTATACGGTATCTTTGGACTTCGTAAAATTTATCATGTCTCTCATCTTCGCATACCTTTACGTATTAAACTGTAACGTATAGTTAATTTGTAAAGGTAACAAAGCATATGAATGGGTTGAATGAATTTAAAAGAGATAAAATATACTGTTAGAAGGAGAGACTTGTAACGGGACGATGTGACAACGAATGAAAAAGTCTCTGAATGTATGAATCATTCAGTTGTAGCTCTATAAGATGTAACAAATTTGTTGATTTTTTATTTAATTAATTTGTTTGAAATTTTTTTAATTACGGATTTTTTTAATTTTGTGTTTTTTATGATTATTGGCAAATAGCTTTAGACGTGTGTTCATTTATTGTCGCGGTTGGAACGACACGTTGTACATTAATTATATGGTATTTTACTATAATTAATCACAAACATATAAAATTTAATGGAAAAGTGTTTTAATAAAAATTCAAAGTCATAATAATTATGTTAACAGTTTTATTAATAAAAAATAACTTTTCTAACTTCAATGTTATAGTATAAATAAATATCCATCATTATGTTCTCAAAGCGACCTTAAACTATATTGCAAAATAGCGGTCTATTTTTAATTTACGGCCCTGGGTTAAAAAAAAACTCCATTTAGTGACAGTTTGTCTTTAAACGTGCGATACTATAAAATAATTTTTATTGTTAATTTTATTTCAAGTATTCAGGTTTTATTTCAGTTTAACTGTGATAATAATATGATGTGATATTTCTTGATTTTGCATGAATTTTATGTACTAAATACAGTGGATTTCATTAAAAACGACTTTTCGGTTATAGCGACGTTAGACTTACGATCCTTGAATTTAAAGCATACTTTCATAGGAAATTTATTCGGCAATAGCAAATTCGGATATAGCGACTGTTGTTATGAACCATTTATAGCCGATACCTAGACATTCCATGCGGATATTCGGTACTACTGAGTCGGTAAAAGCACAAAGACTCATAAAACTGTTAACCTTTCTTATCCTTTGTTTACATTTAGATTCGAGATGTGCTTGCTTTGTTTGTAGGCAGGACTTAACACGTGTACAGATAATTTCTTGAATTTATGCGATTACGGTCACGGGACAAATGTGCACAAAGTTGAACTTTTGAATCAGATATGCGCTATGACAACGCTAAAAAGTACTATTTGTTTGGTGAAGGCAAAAATCATTTGAATATTGAATAAATTATGAAAATGGAATACACCTTACAGCGTATGGTCCCTCCAACGTCGTTATAATCGAAATCCACTATTTTATTTATACAAATTTGTAGTGTTTCATTATCATTCAATTTATATTTCTAAAAACAAGTGACTTGAGATTAATAATAACTTAACTGTTTAAATACGAGTATATGCCTCTGAAAAAATAATGCCTTCTTGAATAACCTGCCTAAAACGAGAATCTTCATACTGCTAACGGATCTGCCAAATACGAAGCCGCTTTTGGGTTTACCCAACGCTCACAAAACAAAGGCCAAAAAACAAAGGCAAAATCATTATCAGTAAGTCATAAATAGGCGATTTTATGATAAAGCCTCTTTATCATAAAATCCTATGTATCCTAGTAGCCTATTGTAATTACTGCGCCTTTGATATTAAAAGTTGTCACACTGGCATATATCTGATGTCAAGCACCGTCGAGCGACTAGGTCTATAGTTTA